GCTCTGTGGTGACCAGGCAGAATACAGTGTGTTTTATAGGTGTTTGCTCCAGAAGGAACAGATGGAGAACTGTCCTTCACTCAGCCTGACAAGGGGCTCTCCGTCGTGGATTTATGGCTGGTTTACTTCTGTCTCGGTTAGCTCAGTCTCAGGGAGCCACATTAAAAGCTGATGGAATGAGCCACTTAAGAGGGTGGGGGCAGCTGGGAGAGAGCTTCAAACAAGACCAGATCTGTTTTTATAGATGTGTTTGCTTAGATTGTAAAAACCTGAAAAATGGCTTCAGAGCAAGGCTTGAGGCAGAACCCGATGCTATCAGGAGACACTGTTGCCTCGTTGCTGTTTAATTAAGGCTGGGGCCTCAGGGGAGGTCACAGAACGGAATTCACAGCATGCCTCTGTTCTCTGTAACTTGAGCCTGGGGTCCCAGAAAGGTGCCATGCAAAAACAGGCCCCTAAATCGTGCTCCTGCATATCTGACTGCAGGATCAACCAGGAGCTAGATCCTAGTGACAGAGCTGCAGCCCAAAGGGACTGAGGAAAGATGGCCGCCTTCCTAGTATGTCTCCTGCAGCCTCCTGGCCAGCTTGCTGTATCCTTGGTCATGCTCTTGCTGTTATTAATAACAGCCGTTCTAATGTTTATTGAGGCCTGTAATATCCCAGACCCCTGCAGGGTCCCAACGGGCCCATCTCCCACCAGCCACTCTCTCATGTGATGAATGGCACCTTCCCAACAGACTCTGGCAAAGGGCTAAGCTGTGTGGCTCTTGGGCTAGGTAGGGGAGGCACAAATCAAAATGAAGTCAGTGTGTCAGGTACCCCCCAAGGATCATCAGTGGGAATTCTCCATTCTTATTTATTTCCTGAGAAGTCCTTAGAATGGAATACCTGAAAAGAAAAATTAACCCGGAAACAACACTGGTGAGCAAAAGTGGCATAATTGTAACCTACTTATCTAGAACACATGAAGGCATTGCCTGAGAGGCAGGCTTCAGGTCAGCCTCAGGCTGGATAAGCAAATGTCTCAGTGTTCACAGAAGTTTTGTCAGGTGAACTGAAGCAGATGACGGCCCTCAGGCACCCTTGGCTGTGGGAAGAGCGCCCTCTAGGACTGCTGGTCGAAATGGAGTTTGCAGACCTCCACACCAGCTCAGCTCATGCCTGCCTTATGGGGTCTGGTGAGTCGTAGGAAGAGATGTTCCCATTGAAGAACTTTGGAGACATCGTCCACCCCCTGGCTTTCAGGAACTCTTGGGTGTTTTCATAGACCAGAAAACTAAAAGCCATTAAATGTGCTAAGGAAAATGGTTAAGTATTAGAACTGGGCCATCCCCAGCCACCCACCAGCCCTTCATGCAGTACAGCCTCTAACTCATAAGGTGGAAAGGCCTGTTGGATGAGACAGCTGTCTTCCTCCATTCAGTGACTCTGACCACGGAAAGACCCTTTCAACTGTCAAGCTCAGAGGCCTGCAGCAGCCTCAGAATTTCCTTGCAGACTATGCTTGCACACTGGCAATGGCTTGCGTGCCAGCCCTTTCCCTGGGCTGTTCTTAACAAAGCCAAAACTTTCCGAGGGAACACTCATCTTCAGGTGCATATAGATGGTCCAAGTAGAGAACTGAGGAGAAAGGCATGCTCAAGCTGCTGTGGTCAGGCCTTGCGTGCCTCCCTTCTAAAAGCAGGGTCATCCATGCCAGCTCATCACAAAGATAAGACTGGCTGTACAGCAATCCTGCTTTTTCCGGGAGCAGGGTGTTTTCATAATTATGCCACCAGTTTGGTCTGAATATCAATGTCCATGTTAGTAATAATGTCATATGAGCAAGTCGTGTGTATGCGCCCATGCCTGTGTGTGCATGTGCTCTCACAGACACACATATCATAGCATGCATGTGAAGGTCAGAGGAAACTTGGGGAGATGCATTCTCTCCTTCCACCATATGGGTCCTAGGGATCGAACTTGGGTCCTTTAGCAACAAGCACCTTTACCTACTGAGCCATGTCACTGGTCTGACTTTAATTATTTAAACTTGGGTATTGGGCATCTGGAGTTAGACATAAGCTGTTTTTCTTTCCCTAGAATTTTTAAATTGAGCCTTACGAAATCACCACTTAATCAGGTAGCAATTATGTGAGTTACAATGGGATATTTGCACCACCGTCTCCATCTGCCCTGAGACACCTGTGCTGTCTGTCAGGGCAGGCATAGTTCTTGCCATCCAGCCTCCCTGAGAAAGACCTTTTGAATGGGATGCTCCCTCAGGACTTTCAGCACAAACCTTCACGTCAGTTTGCTGTGGCTGGCATGACTCTGGTCTGTGCTGGACTGACTCACCTGATAGGCTGGCTCCAAATTCCTGTGACAGTCCATGGACATGGCTTCATACCAGACAGTGTGGCTTTTCTCTGACTCGGGTTGACTGCTCTGACAGTGCCATCGACCTGTTAGTGACCTTATTCAAGTGGCTTCTGCAGGCGTAATTACTTTTACAAGTGATCTTTACACATTCTAGACCTTTACATCTAGATCTTTACACATTCTCTCTATTTGCATTTATGAAATCCTGTCACTAGGAGTAGCTAGCTAAATGGTTTGCCTCTGTCTTCATTTTCTTTAACCCCTGGGCCATCGTCATAAGACCCATAATGAACCTTGGCTGAGGTGATTCAGATGAGTGGCGTTTTCCCAAACAGTACTTTGGCTACAAAATATCTGAAGGCATGCCTCGATGCCCCTGAGCACTTTTGTTCTTACAAAAACGCTAATCGCTATCTTGATGGAAAGCCGTCACTGCTTCCGTCTGAGCATACCTGTCAGCTATACATAAACTCAGCAGTCCAAGCTGCAGCTGGATGTCAGCCCAGCTTAATTATGCCTAGCTGCATATAAATGCACACTGGCTTCATAGAAAGAACTCTTCGCATTTTCTATAGGGCACAAAGACTTGGGTGAAGTCAGGGGCTCTCAGTTCCAGATACCACTGCATACACCTGGAGAACTTAAAAACCCAGTGATGTCCTTGGCTCTCTGAGATATATATATATGCATAAGAATTTTTTCAAAGCACACCAGGTTACCCCTGCAGCCAATCCTAGCTTCCTACAAGATACCCCTAAAACTTAACCCATCTGCCCCGTGTTAAAGAGCTCGTTGTTAGTGGGAATCTCCATGCATGATCTCAGCACACCTCAGACATCCATGAACCCTGGTACTGACACCTGAGGTTACGGCTAGCACCCAGAAATGTGCATTGGAGATGCTGAACGAACGCTCCAGGCTGCAAGAAACCTCTGGTGGGTTTAGGTGGGACACAGAACTGAGCATGAAGCCAGGCGGAGGGCCTGCCTTGCATGTCAGGGAGAGAGTCTTGGGCTGGTTTGAACATAATGTGGGGGCCCACAGGGAAGCTGCCTGTACTTCCCCACCTCTTCTCTGATTTGAAGACTGGTGATCTTTCCAACCAGCATTCCCTTGAATGCTTATACTTTAACATGAAACCGCCAGCATGGCCCTGCTTGTTAGACAGGAAGGGGGAGCTCCTGCTCCCAGAAGTCCCTCTGAAAGGGAGCTGGCAATGCCCAGCGGGGCCAAATGCCACCACCAATGCCTCCATGATCCTGTGATTCCCATTGCCTCCCAGGAAGGCCCTCCTCCTACTCCAGGGGAACTCAGGGAAACCCTGGTCAGGATAGCACCCGGCCTCCTCTGCATGTGTAGCAGTCTGAGAGAGTCCCTTTCTTCCCTTACCCCAGGTGCCGTTATTAACTCTGGCTACACTGCTGTGTGGCCTGGGCCATATTAAAGTTTTGCAGAGTGTTCTCAGTACCCCATAAATCAGGGAAGTGGGGGCCCTGGGGACACCAGATGAACAAGGTGTGCACATGGCTGTGGTTCTATACTTGGGAGGAAACCAACCTAGTGGAGGAATGGTTCCAAGGATCCTGGAGAGTGGAAGAGCCAAGGGGCCAGGTTGAAGGGGAGGCCCACGCTACCTTGGGAAATGCAGCCATGTGCCACTTAACGTGGAAGGGAATCAGAAAAGCACTGTTAGGGGAACCGCCCCTTGCATAGCGTGGAGCGTGTGTTCACAAACCTCGAGGGCTGTGGCCTCACGCTGAGGATGCTGTGTCTGGGGTGCCGCAGACACAGGATACTGACAGCACTAGCTCTTTTCCAAGCAGGATTGTACTCTAAAATAACCACTGAAAATGTCGTGTGTGGCGGATGCAGCTGGGCACACTTTATCGCTACCAAGTACCTGGTCTTGCTCATAGTTCTGTGCTGTGCTTTCAAAGGCTGCCCAAGCAGTTGTGTTTATGCCATTGTCACCAAAACGAGGGGCTGATGTCCCCTGGTTTGCAGAGAGCCATCTTGCCACCCTCACTTGATGGTGACAACACTCTAGTCTTTTCCTTTTCACAAAGACTAATCTCATCCTAGGTACCCTGCCCTCATTACCTTACCTAATCACCTCTGTGTCCGTGACATCACTGTGACCAAAATACCTGACCAAAAGTTTTAGGTAGAGTCAGTGACAGGAGCCTAACGTCACTGGTCACCTTGTGCCCCGACCCCACCCGTGAGGAAGCAGAAAGTAATGAATGCTGGTGCTCAAACTCTTTCAGTCTAGGACCTCAGCCCATGCCATGGTGCCACTCACAAAGAGGGTGGCTCTTCACATCTCAACCCAAGCTGGACATCATTACCTCACAGAGGTGCCCAAAGATTTGTTTCCATGGGGATTCTAAATCCCATCAAGTTACCAATCAAGATTAGCCAAGGCCTCAGTCGCCTGTACCAGCCACTGGGGCTCAGGGATTCCATACGTGCTTTGGCGAGATCTGAGCATGCCACCCTAAAGCAGTCTTCCAGCAGGCGGTGAGCATCCTTGGCTTGCAGATATTGGGGGCACTCGGGAATGACACGCCCAGGGTCAGCTTTACCTTAGGGCCATCTTCACAGACCCCCCGCTCAGGCTGCACCTGTCTTTGGCAGTGCTCGTCCACCTGCGGGAAGGGGCTCCAGTCCCGAGTGGTACAGTGCATGCACAAGGTCACCGGACGTCACGGCAGCGAGTGCCTCACTCTCTCAAAGCCAGCAGCCTACAGGCAGTGCCACCAGGAGGTCTGCAATGACAAGATTAATGTGAACACCATCACTTCCCCTCGCCTTGGTGAGTACCTCCCCTGGCCCTGGTTTCTGGGTGCCGCTGTTCACCTGTTGTCAACCAGAACGCCGCCGCCTTGCCTTTGAGCACTAAAGGGGCTGACATTTGCTAGGGCTGAAGACGGTTCAGAGGTGTTGGGACATCACCCATGCAATCTTTGGAGCGTTCTGCTCACCCTCTGCCAACACAGGACGATAGCCTCAACCCTGCCCCATGTGTGAGGAGGGTGAAGAGCTGTGCTTCTTTCTGGGAAGGCTAACTGGGGTGTCCGCATGGGATCCCCTGTGCCTTGATGGATCTGCACACAGACAGGGTGGAGAAGTTACAGGGTTGGTTTTTTTTTTTTGTTTTGTTTTGTTTTTTTTTTTTTTTTTTT